AAATCTACCTTGTTTGCCGTCTTTTGAATCTGTGATCTCATTCCATGCAGGAGCTCCTTGTGGGCCAAGCTGGGTAAGCGAAGGAACCCCACTGGACAGACAGCCACCAAGACACAAAGATGCAGATTGGCTGGAGACCAACCTCGGTTCCCGGGGCTCCCTACTTCTGTAGGGACAGTAACAATGACCATCTTTATCATGTTCTGACTGTACACCAGGCACTTTCCTGAGGCTTTGGAAACACTGTTGTATCATCAACATCACCACCAGGGAGATGGCTGAAATGCAGGGGAATCCGTCTTCCTCAACAGCCCCCCAGAGGGAAGAAGGTTGCTACAAGATCAGACCCAGGGACCGAGATCTGCTGTCCTGGCTGTAGCTGAGGGAACTATGTTGGAAGAGACTTTTTTCCTTTTGCTTAATTTACACAGTTGTAGTCATCCTCTAGTCTTATTCTTAAACTTGAAAACATGGTGTCACAGCTGGTAATTTTAGGAGTGATGAGAGAAGGAAGAAACAGAGACCAAGTGGGAAGGTGGCGTGGGAGGACGGGAGAGGAGCGGTTCCCGTGTGGCTTTCAGGTTCTGCCAGCGCTTCCTCGGCAAGAGGCCAACCATCCCTCTCTGTTCTTTCCTCAACTTTTCAACCCAGCCGCCCTTTGTGATTCAGCCTAGATCTGAACAAAGACGCTAGGCAATCTGGGAACAATTTAATTCTCTTAAAATGCACTAATAATTGAACACAATACCTTTCTCCAAGTGGGAAAAAAAAAAAACCCTTTAAATAAATGCTCAGCAAACATAGCAGGGTGGTATCTAAGATCGATCTAGAACCACATGTGAACATTAGTGATATATAACCAAGATGCCAAATTCTAACCGACCCTTCCACCAACATAGAAGGTGGTCTATAAAGGTGAGACCAGTTCAAGCACTTTCAATGAGGCCGTCTCTGGGTCCCAGACTCTTCCACGGGGAGGACCACATGATGTACAGACATGCACCCTGAGCCATCTGTCCATCTATACCTACTGGTGAGGCAGTGGCTGCTAGGACTTAAAGCCACAGGCTACCCCTGGCACATCACCAGCAGTACCCACTGCAGTATCTAAGTTGGTAAGTAAAGCAGGAAACATCTTGATGCTGCCTGTGCATATGATATTGGGTTATCCAGCCATCCTGTCACCAAGACGGCCAAAGAGACCTCTGGGTGCAGAATTTGACATGGGCTATAGGTTCTACTCAAGTCAGCAGGCTCTTCAAAAATTCAATAGGAGGGAGTCACCTGGTATCAAATAAGAGGGTAGAAATTTGGGGTGTGATTTGCTTTGCCCCTCTCCTAGTGACTTAAAACATTATTTCAATGGCAAAAAAAAAAAAAAAAAAAAAACAATATAATAGGGCACACAAAGAAAGACACACAATGTATCACAGTAAAAGCAATCTCAAAAATTTTTAACTTGCAGATTATTGTGGGCTACACTGTAGGAGAGAGGAAAGCATCCTCTCCTTCCAAAGCAAGATATTTCAGCAGGCAAAGAATTCTGTGCGAGAAAGGAAAAATAGCCAACTTGTGCTCCTCAGTCTCAGGAGCATTGACTGATCTCCCAGAAACAGTTCCACACCGGAGACGTGGTCACTCAACTCTCTGAACTAGGAAAATGATGACAGGGAACCTAACACCACTGAGCACCAGAAAATGCCAGTGTAACATGTTAACCAATGATCTCTCTCAACTTCCTGGCAATCTGAGGAGGCAGGTACTGGTGCTGTTGTCCCCATTCTACGGGCGAATGAACTGAGGCTGGGTGTGTAGCTAGTAAAGCAGAGCTGGGTTAGGAATTCAGGGCCCTGGCCTTGAACTTCCTCCTCACTGCAGCGCCTGGCAGTGTCCCCGGAAGCCTGACCATCCAGCCTCCCACGGACTGCTGCTGGATTTGACCTTCAAGTGCAACACCTCTGCTCCTAGCCCCTGCACCTTCTGGCCTTGGCAGGACCTTTTCTTTTCTTTTTTAATTTATTTTTTAGTTTTAGGTAGACACAATATCTTTATTTTATTTTTAAGTGGTGCTGAGGATTGAACCCAGTGCCTCACGCATGCCAGGCGAGCGTTCTAACACTGAGCCGCAACCCCAGTCCTGGTAGGACCTTTTCTGAGACCTGCTCAGTCGACACTCACAACTCTTTTGTGGTAAGTGGGTTCATTAGAAAGAAGTACTGAGTCTCCTCCCCAAGGAAAAGAAACATTCTCGCCATTTGTGTCAGACCAGTAGGAATCAGCCCCCTGGGCAGACCAGGATCTTGTGGGGTCCTGTGGGACAATATGGCCTTCTGGATCAATTGCCAAAGCCCTTAGGTCTCCATAGCTAGAGTATCCAAGAGAGGAGCCACTAGCCACCTTTGGCTGTGGAGTGCTAGGAATGGGGTCAGTCCAAATCCAGATGTGCTGTGAGTATAACACATGGTACAGCACTTGCCTAGCACATGTGAGGCCTGAGTTCAATCCTTAGCACCACATAAAAATAAAAAAATAAAGGTGTTGTGTCCATCTACAACATATATATTTAAAAAATAAGAATGCAGCTTATTGCCTTAATAATTTTTACATTAATTTTATGTTGACAAGGTAATATTTTTTGCATACTAGGTTCAATAAAATATATTGAAGTTAATGCTCCCAGTTTCTGATTAGGTTTTTTAGTGTGGCTGCTAGAGGATTCAAGGGTACTTCCGTGACTGTGTCACATTCCTATTGGACAGAGCTGGTCTGTGCATTTCCAGAGAACTGCAGTTGCCTCCTAAGGATAAGAGGAGATCCCACTGCCTATTTGCTCAGGGTTTACCTCCCCTGTCACTGCATCTGGCAGATGAGAGGGAAAGAATAATCACAATTCTTTCCAGAAGGCCTCAACCAATAGGGGACAGAGAAAAGGCCTCTCCCCCAAGAGCCTCAAGCACAGGGAAGCCTGAACTTCTACCATGCCTGGGTCTCCACGGACCAGAGAAAAGAAAGTCCTGGAGCCAAATAATCTACAGAGAATGCAAGTTATGTATGCAAAGGCCACATGTGTAATTTTTAAAAATTGAGGGAGCCACATTAAAAACAAAAAAGAAGTAAGTGAATTTAATTTCAAAAATACATTTTAACCCAGTACATGATATAATCAGTATACAAATGATCAATAATGAATTTTTTATATTCTTTTCTTCATACTAAGTCTTCAATATCTGGTGTGTATTTCGTGCTCACTCCTCACACATCCCCACTCACACTTGGCCAGTGCCTGCCATATTGGACCCCGTGGCTCCGGGAGTGTATGAAAAGTCTCAACAGAAGCAAAGTGAACAGAACCACCGCAGGAACCTAAGACTCATGGCTAGGGGCCCAGGACCAGCCTTGCAACCTAGCCACCGAGAAATGTCTGTACAGAGTTTGATGACAGAGGAAAAAAATGACTCTGTAAACAGTTAAGCTAAAATAACAATGGGTGAAGTGACATTAAGACACTGAAACAGTAATCGTCAGGTGGTACCGTGATGGTGGAGTTCTCTCTTTCCTTTATACACCTTACAAATAGGCCAGAAATTTTACAACATCTAAGGCACACTGAGATGTGATAATTTACGATTTTTAAAGTGATAAAAACAATGAGCCATGAAATATTTATTGGGCTGCTCTATCTCTGGCTAATTCTCCAAGAGGGAGATAAAGTGTGTATGTCTTTGAACCCAAAGGCACTGATGGAGTCCCTTGTTGGGCGGAGGAGAGGCTTTCCTAGCTAGTCCAACATCCTTCCTGTGCCTTCACTGGGAATGTAAGGCACATACTAGCAAGAGCTGCAGGAAGTTTTTTGCTGGTCAGCAGCAGAAACAGGCGTCAAATGCAGCTTAGCCTGCATCTGTTTGGGCGGCACAGGCCTCCACACTGGCCCAGAGTTCTGAGTGTCACTATTGTGGGCAGCAGAGGCAGCTGGGAATCGGAGGAAGCGCTCAGACTTGAAAAACAGGTGACCATGCATTCTTTCCGCATGTGCAAAATATGAATCAAATCATTTATAAAATGCCTGCAGCTGTTGGTGGAGACACAGGTACTAATTTAGACTCCGACCCTACCGCACATGTTTACAAATGTGCACATGTGCGCATGCGCAACACACACACACACACACACACACACACACACACACACTCGATAGCCTGAGATCTTGGGATACTGCAGAGCTTTTCTGGAGTGTGCCTGTCCACATGTTTCCTTACCCCCAAAGGATGAAACTTAAGCAGCAGCTCCGGCAGAATTACAGGTAACATTTCACTTAGGAAAGAACAGGCAGTCCCCTGCAAGTGTGAGGATCTGGCCGTCACACACATCTGAAACCCGTGCTCCTAATCTCAAGATCTCTGGGCAAGGTAGGCTGCTGTTGATGAGCCACACCTGCTTCAGAGATTAAACCAGTGCTGACCCATTTGCCTCAAAAGGCAATTAGCTAGATTAATGGGTGCCTGTGGCTGAGATCACGAGGGGTTGAGGTATGATGTGCAGGTGGTGCAGGATATGTTCTGAAATTGATCGTAGCCATGGTTGCACAGCTCTACGTACACTAAAAGTTACCGAATCGTACACTGTATATTCTTTCTTTCTCTTTCTCTTTCGAAGTGCTGGAGATGGAATCCAGAGCCTCCTGCATGCTAGACAAGCACTCCACCATGGAGCTGCATCCCCAGCCTCATTTATACACTTTAAATGAGTGGATTCTATGGTATGTGGCTAGTATCTCAATAAAGTCATTCTGATTTTTAAAGGTATTAAGCACAAATATGAAAGGGACTCGGCTCATCTCACAACAGTGGCGCTTTGAGTCATCTCAGCACCACTTCACCTGCATGCAGGAGGGGACTGGCTCTCTGCCTCTCTTGTGTAAGACTCGTGTATAAAGACTACCCTCTTTAGTGAAACTCCCAGTGTTTCTGTGCCTGAGGAAGGTGCCGGTGAACTTCACTGACCTTTCTGGTCCTCCCACACAGCTGGTCTCATCTGAAGGGAATCTCGGAGCATCCTTCTCAGGAACTGTAGGTAAGGTAGCTGGGCCAGGCCCCAGGCTCTTTCTGGGACAATGAAAGGAAGCAATAGATAAGATAATGTTGATGGTAAGAGAAACATCAATCTCCTAGTCATTTTTGAAAAACATATTTCCCAATGGAAGCTTTAAGTGGCTACTACATCAAAATCCTTCAGGCAGGGTGGGGTGTGAGGGAAACAAAGGTCATACAACTAATGGCTTAGAGATGCTTCCGAATCATCTAAGCCCCCTCTGAACATATCTAGACTCAAAAGCGGATATATCTGCATCTCCAGAAAAACGTCCGACTGATTTCAGCTTACACCCACCCAAGCACTGCCAGCCAGTGAACACATGACGCTTTTGCAGCGGTTTAAGTTAGAGGAACTAAAGAACAATAGAAAAGCAGCGAGGCATGTAAACAGACAGTCCTCACTCCTCCAACCATTGCTCACATATTGCAGAATCTTAGCACATCCAGAGAGGGCAAGCGGGCATATCAGCCATTAGATATGTAAAACTTAGTCTTTGGGAAAACCACCCATCTATTGGATTGACTTTTAAAAAATCAGGCTGGCATTCACCCTTGAAGCTGAACCCACAAGAATTCAATTGAAGTACCTGTCAGTGTGTTGCTCTTCCGGAGCCAGGGGTTGCAGCTTTGAGTCTCCAGTGTCATCAGGCTCTGGGGGTGAAACACGCACCTCCCCATTCCCAGCTGGAGTAGGGAGCTCAGGTCCCAGCTGCTCCTTGGCCGGCTGGTGCCCACTTGGGCTGTCCCCTCGCAGGGCAGCTGTGTCCTCCATCGCCTGACGGCTCCCTGGCAGCACTGAATCATGAGCTACGCCGGCGATCATCCTTGCAGCACCTGTTTCTGGCAGGTCACCAGATGTGTGTGCCCATGCCTCGGCTGTGCTCAACGTGATGTCACCCTTCACTTCCCCAGCAGCTCCTGCCTTCTCGCTGGGCTCCTGGGGAGTGTCCAGCACTTCTCTAGCCAGTGGTTCAGGGATGCTCCGGTGGCCAGGGGCGTTTTGCATTTCCAGGATGCTGGCATCAGCTTCAGGCTTCCTTTCACCCCCAAGCAGGTCACTATTAGCCTCGGGCTCAATTAAAACATCCCCACGGGGAGGAGAGGATTCTAGAGCACAGGTAGATTCTGGCACATCACCTGCACCCACCGTGTGAGCCAAGTCCTGGGTACCATCTTCTCTAGGGTGACTGTCAGAGACCAGTGTTCCCTGGCACTTTTTTCCAGAAAGAATTCTGTCACCTTGAACGGAGGCCTCTTCTCCAAGGCTCTGGGGAGCCACCTGGATGTCAGCAGCTCTCTCCAAAGATGTCCCCTGAGCAGCCACTGGTGAGGAAAGGCCTGAAGCTAGTTCCTGCCCACCCCTCACCTGCTGTGAGTGAACCTTGGCTCCCAGGTCTGGCCTCTCGCTTCTCCTTGCTATGAGTGGTACACCAGTCACCTCCTCCTCAACACTGGCACCAGGCTGGTTTTGCTCCAAGGCTCGCCCCCCGAGACCTGGCAGCTTGTCTAGAGCTGTATCCTGGGAAACCAGATGGGAAATCTTAGCCTCCACAGCCAACTCTGGCTTCTTCTCCACCCAGAGTCCAGCAGGAGGTACAGGGAGAGTGGTAGCAGCCATTCCTTGAGTTCCATCTAGAAGCTTCTCTGGGCTTAGTAGCGTGGTGAGGTCCTTGCCCACCACACTCCTCCCAGCTCCTGCCTTTTCACTCGGTGCATTCTGGGGCTGGTCAGCAGTCAGGGCTCCAAGCACTGATTGCTCAAAGATTCTGGTGATGTGCTCCCTGAAGTCATGGAGCCCTACAATGGGGCTAGGCTGCTTGGAGCTTGCTTCTATACCACCTGGTGCACCTCTCCTTGGATCTGGAGGTGTCTCTACCACCCTGTCCCTGCTGCCCTCTGTCTGTCTTGCTGCATCACCCACCATGCTGTCCTCGCTGCCAGAGCAGGCTGGAGTCCCACAGGGCCTGGTTTCTGGAGCTATGGCCTCTTTGTCCTCCTCTGTCATCTGCTTACTCTTGGCCAGAAGAGGCATCCTGTCCAGGTAGGGCATGGAGTCCACAGGTTCCTCAGTGGTTCCAGCTTTGGAGCTTCCAGAGATGGCAGGCACAGCAGAGCCCTCCCCACCTGCAGCTCCTGGTTGCAAGAGGAGGCTGGCCGGCAGCTTCACAGAGGCAGCCTTTTCTAGGGCAAGCAGGGACTCCTCTATGGGACAGGGACTTTCACCCGGAGCTGTGGGGCCCTCCGAGGAAACAACTCTCAGACCACTGTCTTCTGCTCCTTTCCTGGCGGCACCATTGATATGCAGGTAAGGGGTGTCAGGAGCAGCGTCTTTCCCAGCTGGCAGGGGCCTCTCTGGGTCAGGGCCAGCCTGATGTGCAGAAATGCCCTCCATGCCTCTGGGCATCCCATCCAGCTCTCTGGCCCGTAGCAAGGCATCCTGGCAGCTGGGCACGAGCTGCTCAGTCTCGCAGGACTCACCAGGGACGGAGGTAGAAGGTCCTTTCCTGGAGGTGGGGCAGTGCTCAGTCTGAGCAAAGGTGTCACTTGGAGTGGTTTGTGGCTCCTCTGGAGCTTGCCGCGTCCCTGGGCCTCCTTCACCGGCACTCTCACCAGCTGTAGCAGCCCCTCCTTCATCACCCTGCTCCCCAGCCAGCGGGAACTTCTCGAGAAGCTTGTGGGTCTCTGTATCTGTGGTGGCCGAGGTGGCAGGGCACTCCATTTCTTGCTGTAGGGCCGGCCCTGGTTGCTGCCTCTCTTCCTGGGCTTGATCACATGTCTGTCTCTCTGGAGCATCCTGGGTGGGTGTGACTCTGAGGCTGGCCAGTGCTGGGGCTGCCAGACCATGAGCTGTATCCAGGAGGGCCACTGAGTCAGGTGGATGAGGCGGGGCCCCCACTGTGTCTCTACTTGCCATCTCTGCCTTGCACAGGCCCGAGGGTGGGAGCTGTGCGTCAGCTACCCCCGCATCCCAGCAACATGCCCCTTCACGCAGGCTGCCTGCTTCCACAGCATCACCCAGCTCCTGTTGGGACTTGTTTGGCCCCTGCCCAGCACAGCAGCTTCCCTCCCCGCCCAAGCTCCCTGCAACAGAAGAGTCTTTTAAAGTGTCTCCTGCGTTAAGCAAGACCCCTGAAAGATGGCCACGGCTGCCTGCTCCCTCTTGCCCATTCTCCCCTAATGCAGGCAACTTCTGTCCTGTTGGAGTTGGCAATTCTGACTCTTCTGATGGAGAACTCTCTAGAACCAAACTTGGAGCATCACACAGACTGTCTTTGGGGAGCACACTTTGACGTTCTGATCCAGATGCCTGCTCCTGTCCTTCATAAGTGGGCAAGCACATGTCCTCCCGAGGCCCCGTGGGTACGTGGGCTGGGGAAGGACCTGCACCCTGGTTCTTCACACCTGGGTTGCTTGGATAAGCCTCTTTCCCATTTGCAGGAGGTTGAGTCATCTCCCTGAGCTTATCAATGATGGGTGCCCCTGTGTCTGACTGTGATGGCAGGAGGCAGTTCTCAGAAGATAGTGGGGGCCTCTCGGATGCAGCTTCTCTTGCCCCACTGTCCTCCAGGTGGGACAGGTTTCCCTGAAAATCTTGCTTCGGACTGAGCATCGTATCCACTGCTGGGGTCTCCTCACAGGGAGTGTTTGGCACATCAGCATGAACTTCCTGTCCATCTATATTGTGCCCTGGCCCAGAGGATTGGCCTGGGGATGTCAGCAAGTTCTCCCCATCACAGCTGCGGGGCCTCTGTGGGGACAGGCGGCCCTCTGTCTTTTTTTCCAATGTGTTCTCTACCTCTTGGGCTTTGGATACAACCTCTGCAGCAGGAGTCGACAGGAAATCTGGTTTCTCTGATTCTAAAGCAGGAAGAGACTCCATTCTTCCCAAACCCCACATGTCCTGAAGGGTATCAGGGCATCTGGACTGCAACCCCGGAACAACATCCTCATCAGTTTCATCTGGTGCTGGGGGCAGGACCGGCTTCTCCTCAGGGAGGAGCAGTGAGGTGGCTGCAGTGGTCACATTGGCACCAGCCGTCGCCTGCCACGCTACCTGCATTGACTGAGGGTTGGGCCCGCCTATGTGTCCAGCACTGTTCTTCCTGGGTGGCTGTGTTGAGTCTAAGCTGGGAAGGATTCTGCTTTGTTCGTTGCCACTTTGTTTCGAAACCTCATCTTTGTCCTCCTCAGCATTGGGCTTGCCACCAAGAGCCTGAGACTCCTCTGCCCTCAGGTTTCCAGGATCTGTACCACCAGGTGTCTCTGGGGTGGCATCCTGGCTCCTGGGGTTGTCTCCAGCTGATCTGATCTCGTCTCTAGCCACGGCAGGACCCTCATCATTCTCGAGGGCCTTGGCTCCATCCTTTGGCCCCTCTGACCTTCCAATACTTTCACTCGAAGTCCCAGGAGGAGGAGGGGACAGCGGCATCCCTAGTGCGACCCCCTGGCTTTGCTCCCTGTTCCAGAACTCCGCTCTCTCCTGAGGTGAGGGGGCAGGAAACTCCCCAGCGCTCCCTTTTGGGTGCTCTCTCTCTCTTTCAAGATCTGATGCCCCCTCCTCCAATCCTCCCAACCCTGTATTCACCAGCTCTTTGGCTGCTTCTGCAGAAACTGGTTTCTCCGCCTTGGAAATCGTCTCCCTGGCCAACCGGCTGGATCCTCCTTCGGCAACAGGGATCTGAGCATCTGTATGTGCAATGGGGCTTGAAGCTGGAGTGAGTGGAGAGGGCTGGGCACTCACCAGCAAACCCCCAGCTGGCTGGCCACCTGCGGCCACACCGATGACTTGACGGGGTTCAGCCCTTTCTGTCTCTATCTGTGAGTGACCCTGAGCGTCACTGGTGTCCAGAGGCTTCTTGCAGGAACTGCCGATTGCTGCAGCCAGAGCAGGACTGTGCGGGTCCCTGGGCAGCTGTGTGTGTGGCAGAGGTGGTCCCATTTGCTGCCAGCAGCTTTCCCGGGAGGCAGAATTCGCTTCAGCTTCATAGGCGGGGCCTGAATTGCTGGGAGGCAGGCCGCAGGCCCCGAGGATTTCCAAGCTACCGGCTGAATGCGGAGGCGTCACCTCCACTCGGCCTGGATATTGTGGTTCCCTGGTCTCAGGTATTGGGGGCCACTCCTCCAGGCCAGCTGAGCTCTCCTTGCCCAGCTGGACAGCAGCTGGGGCCTTGGTGGCCACTTGTACAGAAGCTGATCCTTGCCTGGACTCGGCAGGGGAGCCTGCAGCGTCTTTCTCTTGGGCCTCGAAGCCACCAGAGTGGGCCCCCTCTCCACACGGCAGCTCCTTCCTCGGCCCTGCGGGCTGTGCTGGTGAGATTCCAGTCAACTGGCCGATGTGGCTGGAGGAAGAGGAGTCCTGTGCCTCTTCCCTCGGCTCCTCGTCACATCCAGTACTGGGGACGATGGCAATTCCACTATGATGAGTAGAGCTGTCCCCCTCAGGGGTAAATGCCGCCATGACATCTCCCGGGGCACTTGGGGACGTTTCTGGTGCGGCTGTGGGGCTTGCCAAGCAAGCCTCTGGGGGGCACTCGGTGAAGGGCATGGAGGTCCTGGGCCACTCCTGCTCCCAGGGCGGCGGTAGGCCAGGCAGTGAAGAACCTCCCGGCCCCCTGGCTTCCTGTGGGAACTTCCTTGGCTCCGTCACCTCTGGGGACACGATGGTCGGATCCCAGCTGGCAGCACTCTCAGAAGTGGAGGGGGGGCTGCCGAGCCCAGCGCTGCCAACAGTGAAAACACTCAATGTTTCATTGGTTCTCAAAGGTGCCAAGGACAGAGCCACATCACAGCAGGTCACGCCAACCCGCCCCCACTCCACGCCACCAGCAGCCTCCACCACAAACGTATGGGCCCCCATGCAGCAGGCTGCTCCCCCTGGGAAGCCCTCCAGCCCCTCCCTTTCTCCAAGTCAGACATTCAGCTGGGGGCTTCTGTGCTGGTCAGCAGCAAGCAGGGAAAGATGGAGACTCATTCATAATAATCTAAAACACAGGACACCCAGGAGGACCTAAAATGGGGGTTTGAACCAGTTCTCTGTAGACTATAAGGAGGTCTTGAGTGCTTCTGGGAATCCTTTGATGTTCAGGAAAAAAGCCCAAGCTGGCCAGGCCAGGCTTTGAAATGGAGAGCTATTCTTGAACACAGTTAACTTGATTCTCCACCATTTGACAGGTGGTAAGAGAGACACAACCCAAAAGTCATTTCTGGTTAGCATGGAATTTCTGTACCCAACCAACATGTACCACTTGGAATCTGAAATACCTTCCTACCCCTATCTGTCCTGACTTGAACACTTATCTGGGCAATGCACAGAAAAAGCAAAACAAAGCACGTAAGAAAGTCAGAGGAACCGGTTCAGAGTCAAGGAGCTGCTGTAGATAGCCGACTATCGCTATCATAAAAGAACTCGTCACATGCTCTGCTTGATTGTTGCCCAATCCCATATAGTTTGAAGTAAAAATATTATTTTAAAAATAATTATTAATAATTTTAAGGCCGCCTGTGGTGGCACATGCCTGTAATCCCAGCAGCTCGGGAGGCTGAGGCAGGAGGATCTTGAGTTCAAAGTCAGCTTTGGTAACTTAGGGAGGCACTAAGCAACTCAGTGAGACCCTATCTCTAAATAAAATACAAAATGGGGCTGAGGATGTGTTCAGTGGTTAAGCGCCCTGGGTTCAATCACGAGTAACTAATTATAATAACAATAATAATTTTAAAATAATTATTTTATAAATAACATACACACAATACAAAATTTGGAAAACAGGAAAAAATATCCAATGTGCTTGGCATTTTCAGTGTTCTAGGGATGTTTTTCCTTTCTATTTTTTTTTCCTGTACAGCCTCTTAGGGGTATAATTTTTATTATTTGTACATAGCTGTGACTCTATACACTTGCTATGATTAAATATTTTCTGGTTTCAGGAGAAATTGCTCAATGCATAACTAATAGTGTTTCTAAAGCCATTATTCTTTTCCTTCAAGTTTTCATAAGGAGGAAAATAGTGAAGGAACGGCATGGAATCTTTTTGTAACCATCTGTTACACACACGCACATTCACACACACCTGGACCTGCAGTGTTCTGGACAAGGCCAGAGGAAGGAGTCTATTCTCTGTGTTCACTGCCCAAATTCCAGGTTTCCATGCAAGACAGCACACGTGCATTCATATGTGAGGGAGGCACAGAAAGGGAGGGTGAAGTACGATCCTATTAAAATGTAAAAATATGTTCTATGGACTGAACTGTCTGTCCCTCAATACCCACATGTTGATATCCTAGTCCCCCACGTGACTGCAATGTGACAGGGCTTTAGGAGGCAAAAATTAAACTAGGTCCTAGAGTTGGGGACCTAATCCAATGAGAATGGTGTCCTTATAAGACGGAAGACACTGGAAGGTGCTGGGCACAGAGGGAAGGCTGTGTGAGCCAGGAAGCGCCTCCCTAGCTGGCAGAGCTCTCTCCAGAATCCAGCCCTGCTGGAACCCTGACTGTTAAAGTCACCCAGACTGTGGTGTTTTGTGATGACAGCCCAAGCAGACTAATAAAACAGGGGCATATGGACATTTATTGTCCTATCCTTTCAACATTTTGGAGATTTCAAATTTTCCAAAATAAAAAATTGAGGAAACAATAATGAACGAAATAACATCAGTGCTTGGCAAGGATCAGCTCATTAAACCGTGCTGACAGCTGGGTGGGGTGGGCAGCGCTGCTGCCATTTGCAGATGAGAACACTGGGGAACAGAGAGGTTAAGCTTGGCTTTCAACTCGGGCATCTTCCTACTCTCTGCCACCAAGAATAAGAACTTCCAAGGAGGGCAGGAGGCTCTTTACCTGGCCCCAATCCAGCCTCTCAGCCAGGCCCATCACTTCCAAACATGCCATCATTCAACATTCTTCCAGAAGGTGTGTGCCCATAATCACCATGGCAGTCACCATAGTGACTATGCTAATACCCATGCCTGCATAAGGACACAAGACAGATGCCTGAGAACCCGGGGAAGCTGGCTCTGGTCTCCACCTGATTTTTCTGACTCCAAAGCAGGGTTGACAAGGGCAAAGAGAAAGCTCCAAGGGTGAGATATCCAAGCCCCAAGGATGCTCAGAGTTCACCAAGATGGCCCGGTCAATGGAGAGCCCTGGCCCAGTGCTGCCAGCATATGCAAAACAAAACCACCCTGGGACTTGGGTAAAGCCCATGGCCTGGCCTCCTGGAAAGCCCCAGGCCGAGGAGGGGCCAGAATGACAGGGCTCTTGGCTCACCTTTGCTATTTCCTCCTGGCAGAGCCTTTTTTTTTTCCTTTATTTGTACCGGGATTGAACTCAGGGACATTCAACCACTGAGCCACACCCCCAGCCCTGTTTTGTATTTTATTTAGAGACAGGGCCTCACTGAGTTGCTTAGCACCTCGCCATTGCTGAGGCTGGCTTTGAACTCGCCATTCTCCAATCTCAGCCTGAGAGGTGTGCGCCACCGAGCCCAGCAGGAGCCTCCTTTTAACAAGCATTTTACATCTCATTTTGGGGTGTCCCAGCCACTAACTGAGGTCAAACAGTTTAGCAGGCTATAAAATTAATGGAGTGCTCCTTTTTATTTTATTTTATTTTTCTTTCTCTTAGTAGTGTGGATGGAATCTTGGCACATTCTGACACTGAACTATAACCCCCCAAGCTTATTTTATTTTATTTATTTATTTAAGACTGGATCTTCCCAAGTTGCTCAGGCTGGTCTGGAACTTGCCATCCGGCTTCAGCCACCGCCTGCCCCCAGCTGGGATTACTGACGTGCCGCCACACCTGGCTGGGGGTTCCTATAGATGTTGCCTGCTCGGGAACCTGGAGCACAGCCCCTTCCTGTCCCCATTATTGTAACCGTGGTCCACTTTCTGCTTTGAATATAGATAGGCCTTTGCTGCTCCACCACTGAAATTTTTTTAAATGGACATGTTTCTTTCTCTTCCTCTCTCCCTGCTCCTCCCTAATCTCTCCCCCTCCCTAAATCTCAGGGGAAACAGAATTACTTTTCTTTCCCATCCAATGCAGAATCATCTGTCCTGAGTACCCATCCACCATAAGAATGAGGTAATCCAGACTTTGGGGATGGTACCAGAAGATCTCAGGAATGACCATCCCACTGAAAATAAAATAAACAAAGCCACTTCCTTGCCCATGCCTCTGACAGCAGCTGCCATTTAGGAAGGGTACAGTTTCCCTTAGGCTGACTGAAATCATTACTAACTGGGACAAGATGATAAAAGTTGACTGTACTGGGGGCTGGGGTTGTGGCTCAGTGGTAAAAGTGCTTGATTAACATGTGCGAGGCCCTGGGTTCGATCCTCAGCACCACATATAAATAAATAAAATAAAGGTATTGTGTCCAACTACAACTAAAAAAAAATTTTTTTTTAAAAAGGTGACTGTGTTTTGGCATCTTGCAAACTTTTGTGTTCTTATCAGAGAGCAAACAAAAGTGAATTTTCCTCAGAGTACGGGACCCCCAGCAACTAACTGGTCCCCAAAAGTAACCCAGACATTGGTTTATTTACAGTAAATCGAGCATCAGCAATCTCTTTGATTACCCATCAGAAGCAATTTTAAAAGCCAGATTAAAGCCACTCCCCAGGAACTGATTTGCCTAAGGGCAGGAAAAATTCTAAGAACCGGTCTGTTGAGGAATCTGCATTAATTAAGCTTACATAACAACCTTTTATACTTCAAGATTGAGTCCAAATGTGTGGGTACAAGGCTGTGCTCAGAATCGAGGGGGGTGCTTTTCACTGGCTGGGCAGCAGGCGAGCTCAAAGGAAGTCTTTCAGTTTTGGTGTCAGTATCAAGGTCACGGCCAGGGAAGGAACAAGGACCACAGCGTCCCAGTGCAGATCTTTGCCCATAGTGCCCTCATGAAGCTGCTGAGCAGATGATGGGGACAGAGAAGGCCCTCCCCACTACCCTGGTGAAGACATAGTTCTGAAATACATAGTTCTGAACACACTGGGGTGGGGTACTTAAAGGGAAGAAGTTGGCTGGCTGTGGAAAACAAAGGTCCTGCACCCTGGGCTTTAAGGAGACCATCGAACTGAGGCAAAACTCTTTATGGTGAAGAATTGCTCCACACTATGTCCTTACTAAGGCAGAGCCCCTGGTAAGCAGTTGTGGTCGCACAGCAGCCTTGCAGAGGGGATGCTCCCGGGCACACATGAAGAAATCTGTCAGGGAGGTCCAAGTCTGGCCTGGAGGACAAGAGCTGCTGCTCAAAACAGGACCAAGGCCTCGGGGCTGCCTGGGCAGAGTCTGTTTCTGTACATGCTGCCAATTCCAGCCTCTTACTGGACAGGTGTGCTGCCCCTTCTCCCAGCCACTCTGGCCCCTTCGTTCTGCTCTCCAGGCTGCAGCCAGAGCATTGGCTTGGAAGTGAGAGTCTGCTCCCGTCTCCCCTGAGGGAAAGCTGTGGCTTGGCTTTGCTATCAGCTCTGGTGCAGCCCCCTGGCCTCCCCTGGCCTCCCCTGGCCCACATCTCCTGGAGCTCACCAGCCCTGCATCTGCCTGAGACCTGGAGCCCTCCTGCTCCTCCTCAGCTCTCTGCACTGGTCCTTACTTCTCGGAGTGGCCTCCCTGGTCTTGGTTCCCAAATCAGATCTACTTTCACAGGTCCGCCTAGTGCTAGTCTCAGTGGCTATCAACCTGGTCAATGACCACTTCCCTCAGGGAAGACTGGGTC